TCTCTCTCTCTCTCTCTCTCTCTCTCTCTCTCTCTCTCTCTCTCTCTAATTAAGATATTAATTAAGGTTATAGTTATGGCTTCTATTCTGATTGAATTGAGAGGAGCAATCCTAATGTGAGAATGCCTGTGTGTGTATGTGTGTGTGTGTATGTGTTTATATTTATCATAATCATATTAGCAATTTTCTATCCACTGCAGGATGAAGGCCTTTTCTGCATGTTTCCAACCAATACTTTCCTGAGCTTTCTTTTGCCAATTAGGCCCATAATACTTGCTGGTGTCGCTGATCCATCTTGTTTTAGGTATCTTTCATGGACGCTTTTTATCAAGTGGGATCCATTCTATAACTCCCTTGGTCCACCTGCCATCAGTTCTTGCTATTTCCATTTCAATTCTTTTACTCTCTTGATGATATCATATATTTTTGTTTGTTCTATAATTCATGTGCAGATCTTTCTATCTTGTCTTAGAATAGAATAGAATCGTGTATCTTTCCATGGCTCTTTGCGCCACTCATAGCTTTTGTATTGATTGTGAAGTTAGTGTCCATGTTTCACTGGCATGTGTTATAGTATATTTACATTTATAAATTATACACACACACACACAATACCGCCAAATCATCTCATTTCCTAGCAATGAACAAATATTTGAACACTAATTTATTTTAATTTCCCAAATAATTATATTTACATATGCTACTTTTTATTGGATTATATGTAATGCCAAATACTATACTAACTCTTCTTTTTTTTAACAGCAAAATTTAGAAAGTAATCTTACCAGCCTTATCAAAAGAAACACTGAACTGGAAACACTTTTGGCTAAATTAATTCAGACTTGTCAACATGTAGAGGTAAGTACTAATTCCAGTATATTTAATTCACAATTCTTTCTGAATATATGACACCCTGTTTTATAGACTTTTAAAATAATCATAATGTTACAGTTTGAAAACATGTGTGTTTATTTATTTTATATATACCTATTTCTTTTTGTTTTAACCTTTCTGTCGTGTCTGAGTCTTGGTGACTTTATAGGCAAGTATATAGGCAAGTATACACCTGTTCTGAAGTTGAATATGGACCAAATCAGGGGTGGGCTGCAAAAAATGTAGCAATCGGTTCTCAGCCCCATTGCTGGATGGGCGTGGCCATGGTGGGTGTGGCCGAGTCGGCCTCCTGAACCAGGGCAGGGGGGAATGTTGTTGTCCTCCCTGGGCTCCTGAGGCTTTCCTCAAGTCTCCGGGAGGGCGAAAACGGCCTCCCCCAGGCTCCAGAGGCCTGTTTTTTGCCCTCCCCGAGCCTCCATGCGGGCCTTGTACTTACCTGGCATCCAAAACGGGCCATGTGAAGACTCCGGGGAGGGGAAGGGAGGGGTGGGCGGGGCTAGCCAGGGGTGAGATTTACTGGTTTGCCGAACTGGTAATTCAAAATGACAAAATTAGCTACCGGTTTGCCCAAACCAGGGAGAACCGGCAGTAGCCCACCCCTGGACCAAATAGATAATTTAGTATCTTCTTTATAGAGCAGTTAAATAAATGTCATGGAGATTTCACTATTGGAAACATATATATATAATTTTATATTGAATAAAATATCATTTGTTTACTGTTAACACACTATTTAAAAAAATAAAATAAAAGACAAAATATTTCAAATAATTAAAGGCAGATTATATAAAAACATTCTAATGTATATATACAACTCATTTAATGGCTAAATTATAAAATAAAGGAAAAAATAATTCCTGTTTTTCTAGAATATATTGTCCTAGAGAAAGCAGACTGATCAATTATTTTATGTTAGTATGTTGTTTTAGTTATATTCCCTAGTGGTTTCCTTGAAGTCTGGTAGGAATAAAATTGGAATGAGCAATTGGTAACATGAAATACTTTTGCTTCCTGCAGTAAACAAGCTGTAAAGGAATTCATACATGATGACAAGTGAGCCCAAGAGATTTCACAACATCCTGGCATGAACTAACTGTATGCTGTAAAATATTCTCCATAATTCTTTGTGGTACACAGAGGCTCTTTAACAAATAGATTAATGTAGACAGGATTCCCTGGAGATAGAAAAAAATTGACCTTCATAATTAAAATGCATTATTTCCAGTTTTAACTCTAGCTATATTTCCTGAAGTGTCACACGGCTTCTATTTTACTCTGACAGTCATATCAAAAAAGTAAATTCAATTGCTAATATAGCATTGCTATCTATCTATCTATCTATCTATCTATCTATCTATCTATCTATCTATCTGCTGCTCATCTCACTACAAGTTTATATATAACTCAAGAGAAAAAACTCCAGTGATAATTTATTAGTTTTCCATAAAATATTCAGTTGGTTAATTAAGATATATACAGTAATTTTCTATTAGGAGCCCTGATAGTACAATGCAATAGATGCAGTATTGCTGTGCTGCCCCATTCCGTCTCTCTCTCTCTCTCTCTCTCTCTCTCTCTCTCTCTCTCT